ATTACATTGAAAATACACAAATTTACAATAAAGTTATTATTTGGTTTCTCCTTCGGTACTGTAAGTTTACTATAAATTACATTATATTTTTACGGTAAATCGCATTGTAATTTTGCAGTAAAAATTCTGGAAAAATACATTTTGAATCTAGAAAATTTACTTAGTGCTATGGCGTCATGAAAATGTTAAACCATAAAAGCAAATCCATAACTTACAGTCACTTGGAATCTTGTTAACAATCGTATATTCACAAATATGCATCCTGTTCTAATTAAATGTAATTTCTATTTAGTAATATAATATATATCCATGACCAGTTACTGGACTGTTAAGAAATTAGAATCAAGGCAAAATTAATAATATTCCAGTTTTTAACAATTTATCATAGATAATATTGAATGCAAATGATATTAGGTGATCTGTTTTTCATTAATTACCGCTTTAGTTAATAATAATTTATGTATCGTTTACCTAGAACTTGATCGCTTAAACTAATACTGCCAATTAAATATAATTAGCCTCGGCCATTAGTAATAATTTAATTCTATTAAAAACACGATCATTTTTTTATGCAAGACCGTCTCATATCAGGTTTCAAAACTCATATATTAATACTAATTTTATTTATAAGTTCAGTGCTAAAACTTATTGCCTATCATCGATATCTGAGAAATCAGAATTTCCTATTTATCATGATATCTTATCATTTAAAGACATGTCACCCTCAAATGGAAAAATCTCACGGTTTTAGTATCTTCTACCCACACTGAGTAATTGCTTATCACCGCCCAATTTTCGGAAATGTGTACTAAACCATCTTTGTTCATGTGAAATGACCAAGAGTAATATGCAGATATCGTACTACATGCGTATATGTATTGTAACTATTTCCTCAAACGCTATTAAGAAGTGTCAGATAGATACGTAAATGCTTAATTTGTTCAGATAAAAGTTCAGGAAGACGATACGTTTGTTTTCATTTTACATATAGAGAGAGATGCTTGAACTATCACCAAATATTTAAAGAAGAGATCACTGAACTATTTTGAACGAAACTTTGTGCGATAAAAATATATTTCAAATACAAGAATCGAAACATTAGTAAAAATTGATCTTGATAAAGCAAATCTTACACCAAATTATTGCCCTGTTTTCTTTGTTTATACTAACTTAATTGTTAAATCTAAAATAGTTGGAAATTCTTGCTCTTGGTCTGTTAACCTGTGCTCAAAGACGCATACCATCCACCTACATCAAATTGTTGTGTTACGGGAGAAGTTCACATTATGTATTTGATAAATTTTTCTGTAGAACACAGATATACTCCCTGACATATTTCAATGTTTATTCAAATTGAGCCGTTAATTTATTCCAATATATTCCACACCCAACTACATTTCCATATCGTGTTTAAAAATGTTTTCCTCTCATATATAACCTGACCAGATAACTAATTTCACGCGATACAAACTAACGTTAGGCGGGGCATTAAAATTTGTTTACGACTATCTTAATAGAACATCAGTTGGGTCATGAGTACGTATATTTTCGAAACGTTGCCTGCATTGTTACCAAACATACTGCAGCGGTAACTGTGTTTCTGTAATTTCACGTAAGAGATTTGTTAATGTAATTTCACACTGAATTTTATTAATAGTAATTTTACATATTACAGCAGCCTAATTCTATATTTCTTTGAGTTGATTTTGATTGAATTTTTGGAAGACATGGAATTGTATAGATAGAAATAGAGTATAGTGACATCTTTTTTGTAATTTTACACAAGGTTTGTATTAATGTAATTTCACATTGAGTTATATAAACAAGGATTAAAATTACAGTATAATTAATGGTAATGATGTCTTCACATATATTAATTAATAACTCATCTCAATATATTTTTAAATTTCATCCTTTTACTATAATAATATAAAGATGCAGATTTGATTACATTGATATAGTACATATTTTGTACTGTACATAGCATGACCTCTTGGTTTCATATTCATTGCTGTAAATTACAATATTGTAATTTTACAGTACTGAAAAATACTGTTAATACTGGTAGCTACCTGATGTTATGTAATTTCACATTTAATATTATAAATTATACAGAAATTTAAAAACCTGATACAGTAATAAGAAAAAAAATGATATATTTGTGAGTACTTTTTGGTTGAAAAAATTGTTCATGGTCATAGGTTTCAGTGAAGTTATTTAACAGATTTCGTACCAATTTAAAGCACAAGCTTTATCAAATTTAAAGGCATTTCCTTCATGGTGATCTACAATTTGTTGTATTAAACTAATCACTTCTTCCTTATTAGGTACTACACAATTTGTACACCCATATCCTGGTTAATTTGACATAAATTAATACACAAACATAAGCCGTCACTTTTTATAAGTGTTGCTGAGAGTTTCTTAAACTAACACCATATACATTTTTATTTACCTTATATCCATTCTAGAAATGATTAATATCTTACCCAGTTAGACTAAACATTTCTTGAATGAATTATGGTGTTTCGAGAGTATCCCAATTTAGATATAAGCAGTTTTTATGGCCTGGATTGTTTACATAATACGGTGTTTATCGTACCTGTGTATACAGGGTGTAAGTCTTCCTCCCTTTTCATTTGCATTTTGAACTGAAAGTGAGTTCCGAGAACCTATTTTCACAACGAAATTTTAGATCCGGACCTGACTTGTTGTTTTGCTCCCAAAACTGCTCTCAGCTTTGGCAGATTATCGGGCAAGATCACCGATGTGGCCAAGAGTACAACGCGAGAGGGGATTGAAGGAATATTTCCCACAGTTAATGCTTCCTTCTGGCACTCGACGAGCTCGCGCCACGTTGCCAGCTCCTCGCGGCCACTTGTTGCTCACCGAGTGACGGCAAACATCCAACACGTGCAATTCGATCGTATTTTTCACAAAACGGCGCCTACAGGGCGATATGAAACTAGCTGTCTTAGCTTTTTCTTAAAAAAAAAACAAACAGTGTTTGAAATCTGATCAGTTTTTGTGAGAAATTGAATAAAAAATACGTTTTGAAACGATTGAAGGTTGTCCGTCATCTAAAAACAAACGAAGCTCTAACCCGTAACTATAACGAGACTTAGTCGACTATAAAGTGTGAGAATTTCTTTGTTTGCGTTTTTGTTTACTGTTATTCCGATGAATAATTATTCCAATAGAAGTATGAATGGTTTCCATTAATGTTTTCATCGACGGTGTGAATTATTGATTCGATTTAAATTAATAAGAAACTGACAATGAAAACAACTAACCGGTGTTGTTATGATTCAAGTGGGTTAGATTATCTTAAGTGCATTAGCAATTAGCACTAATGTTTTGATTAGTTAAGAAACGGAGATCTGAGCTTGAAACTGACACCTACTTTTTAGTAGATGTCAATAAAGTAACGCCCTACAAAGCAAAGGCAGGCACCGTTAGGTGTGGAATAATAAAAAAGTCGTTTAACCATAATGTCTTCTATATAATATAAATCCAGCACTAATGCATATTCATGTCCTTAATATAATTACTGACTGCGGTATAAGTTATACCGACTAATTACAATTGTATTGTGATTATTAGAAATCGAAAATTAGCCGTAATCTAGTTTTAATGTTACAAAACCGCCGTATCTGCATAAACATTAGCATACAATGCACATGGGCTTTGAAGAAAGATAGATTTAATCAGTTGCGTTATTGCCCAATGGAAAGGCCTTATCCCATCCTAACTTGGATGATAGTCGTGAGCCGGCCATCAGAGATCGTTTATTATTATTTCATAAAATCGATTTGTAAAAAACAATGATTTGTGGTACTCGCTTTTGAAATGACGGGTACGTATCGTTAATACGTATTGTGGATGTGATTTAAACCTACCAAACCTCGTTATATAATATTTTGTAATGGCTTGTAAGCCATAGGAACGCAGCGCAAAACACAAAAATCCACGGTATTATGCATGTTCAACAAAACAAATGTTAGTGAAAGTGTAGAATTGTCAAACTAGTACTCAGACTGGATCATCAAATTTGGGACACTCGGTAACTAAACTACAGTATACGAATCATTATATTCGTATAATATAGCAATGACTGTTAGTCACTTCATGTCTTTTACTTTTGATACATTTTAGTCTCATGGTGTGTAATTTAGTTACCATGATTTGACTATTTCATATATGTTTTGTTCTTATATTATAGATACTGTTATTTGAACAATAATTTTAGTCTCACGATATATACCATGACAACTGTTTAGTTATTTCGTAACTTTTCTGCTTTAGATTTTAATGTATTGGTGTGCAATTTAGCTGCAATGTTTGACTGTTTCAAAAATACTTCACTCTAAAATAAATACTTTAGTTCCTTGCTATTATTTAATAAATTTCCTAAGTTTTTCACTTTAGGCCTTTTTAGTCCTTTAGTTATAATGTCCCTCTATTTTTCAATGATTTTATGAGCCCTGCATTTTATAATTGATGATTGACTGTTACATGAATATTTCGTTTTAAAGCATACACTTTAGTTTGTTATTATTTGATTATTTTCTAAATTTCCCATTTTAAACGCTTTTTAGTCCTTTGGTTACCATATATCTCTATTTTTCAAAGGTTGGATTAACTCTCCATTTTAAAATTTACACTTTAGTTTATTGATCTAATAGACACAATTTATTCCTTCAATGTACAATTTAGCTGTTCATGTTTAATTTTTTTAACGATGCACTTTAGCTCATTAACGTCGGTACAGCTGCTACTATTTGAATATTTCATGAGTACACTTTAAAGATACACTTTAGCTCATTCACGTGCAATACAGTTATTACTATTAGAATATTCCGTGAATTTCCTCTTTAAATGTACACTTTAGCTCGTTTAGTGCTACTACATATTTAAATATCATGAGTTTTCCTTTTTAAAATACACTTTAGTTCCCCGACTTGACAAATTTTATTTAAACGTATATTTTTCCTTTCCAGGATTCCGGGGCCTGAACTGCGAGGAGAACATCGACGACTGCCCCGGCCACCAGTGCCAGAACGGCGCCACCTGCGCCGACGGCATCAACTCCTACATGTGCAAGTGTCCCTCCACCTACACGGGTCACTTCTGCGAGCAGGACGTGGACGAGTGTTCCACCAGGCCCTCCGTTTGCCAGAACGGCGCCACGTGCACCAACAGCGTGGGCGGCTTCTCCTGTATCTGCGTCAACGGCTGGACCGGTCCCGACTGCTCCGTCAACATCGACGACTGTGCCGGGGCGGCCTGCTTTAACGGGGCCACTTGCATCGACAGGGTCGGCAGCTTCTACTGCAGATGCACCCCGGGCAAGACCGGTAAGTGGTCGTTACTTTTCCGTATTGTTGTTGCCGCAGGGTTAAAAAGTGTAGGTTACAAATAGGGACTATTTGACCTGTTCTAATGTCAAATTCAATGTGTGTGTTATAATAGAAACTAAAACACTAAAGTGCGTATGTTAAAATCGGAATAAGGAAAAGCACTTTAGTTCTAAGGCACAAAAAAATACTTTTGATGCAGTTTTATTATATACGAGAGATCTATCTATAACATTGTTTTATTCTTAAGGACTAAAGTGCACATTATGAAACATTAAAAAGTGTGTTAGTCCCAATATAAATACTAATACTTCACACAGTCACGAAATTACCTGCCGTATTAGAAACACCTTCTTGTAAACCGGTAAACTGAATACCTAAATGTAATAAAATGAAGCGGCGACATATCCGGCCATTTTGGTTTCGCCGAATTCGCATTAGTTGTTTGTTTTTTACCTGCTTAAGGTCCTGTTGTTATATCACATCAGGTGGATTATGAAATTCACATAAACTATTCAATGTCAGAGGTCATTGACATTGATATTAACAGACTAAACACAGTGCTTTAAAACAATAGGAATAAACATGATTAAAAACTGATTTTAAAAATATTTCAAAAAATATTAAATTTTTTTGTTTTAGTATCCTAGGGAACACCTACTATTATCCCTAAAAAACTGACCCCACTTAAAGTTTCACCCTATACAAAATTTTACATAACAGGACCTAAAATAATGAAAATTAGTTTCAATTCAGCAAAATTTTGACTATTTAAATTGTATTTCTAAATATTGTATAATATTTTTTAAAAAGTTACATAGTTTTCACCCTTCAACTTGAATTTTCCAAACGCTGCTCCGACTATTTCTATTAAAGATCTTCTATCCTAGGTTGGTGCTTGTTAAATTGAAGTTTCAAGTAGAAATAGATTTTTTTTCTGAAAATTTTAAACATAAACTTAACTACAATGAAAAAAAAAAAGAAACATCACTCAAAAATTATTACGCGCATATCAAGTACGCGCCTAATCATCGACTGTCGATTTTTCGATTCTCGCAGCAGGCGGCGGCCTGTTGCTAAGTTCGCTCAACTCTTGTAACAAGAAAGCCTGCCACACCTACTTTACAGTGATACATAAATCGAATACGGAATAACAATGCGTCCTTATTGACATAAATGCAACCTTCGACGGCTTACACGGAGAGGATATCTGCTTACACACTTCTATTTCTGTGCTATCCGGCGCGTAGGTATCGATTTCCACGGTCGTCGGTGGCGAGGGGGTCCCTGCGGTACGCGAGATTTTTTCAGGAGCGGCATTCCGATCGGCTGAAATTCAAGATGAAATTCCTTTATGGTATGGGTATGAGAAAAAACCGACGGTTGGGTATTAGGATTATTCGCCCATGTCCAACGGAGGTTGGAAAACTAAGTATAAAATTTTTCAGAACTCCATAACATTATAAGATAACTAATAGTAGTATATTTAGATAAAAACATGTATCTAGTACTGTATCTTATAAAGTTACAAGTTGAAAACGAAATGCTGAGGATTGTTTTAAAACCTTGCAAAATATCACTAACTAAACAACAAAAGAACCAGTGGCGTCTCATAATAAATTGGGTAGGGTCAGGGAAATATAGATGTACTTGCACAAGATATTACAGAAATAAATATTGAGAAGAAACATATTTTCTTTCATTATACGCAGTTAAATATACCTGTGCAAAACTTTCTCCTTATTAATTTACAATTTGAACTGCTAGAAATTATTTATCTTTTGATGCATCAAATCAACCTTGAATTTACTTAATTTTTACGTTTTCATTGCGAGAATATATAGAAAGCGATTTATTAAAAATAAATAAAGCAATATGAATACTACCTTTCAACTATTCCTTCTTCGTAAATCCTTCATTTTAAAATATACGCTTTAGTCTCTTCGTACGTAATATAACAACTATTGTATTTCTTCATAAGTTTCCTGCCTTAGATTCAATATAATGTAATATGTTGAATGTACAGTTTAACAATGATTGTTTAACTAGTTCATGAATTTTTCGCATAGGTATACACTTTAGTCCTTTATTACATAATATAATATACTATTTATTAACTGTTTCATCAAGTATTCATTATAATTATTCCTTGGTCCGTGCATTAACACATACCTTTTCACCTATTTTATTTGTTTTCTACATATTTTAAAATCCACACTTTAGTTGCTTTAGTCCTTTGGTATATTATATAGCAATATCGTTTAGCAACCTGCTGTACTTTAATGCATTATAATCCTTTAATGTGCAATTTGGCTATTATTATTTTACTATTTTATGAGCTTTTCGTTCTAAAGTGTACACTTTAACCTTTTGATACAATAGATATACTATATTTTACCACTTTACAAATTTTCCGTGTAGGTAACCACTTGGTTCAATATGGCTATTTTTGTAAATATTTCCGTTTTTAATGTACCTACACTTTAGCTTCTTAGTATATAACTATTGTTTAGTTATTTCATGAGTTTTCTACTTTAGATACATTTTATTTCATGGGTATACAATTTATCTACCACAGTATATTTTGACGTTTACAATCTGCCATTAAGCTGTTCTCTAAAACTTAGTTCCTTAGCGTTCCTTCCATTTTAGATACACCTTAGTCCTTCGGTTATTTTTCAAGTACTTTCTGAATTTTCTATTTTAAAATATGCACTTTAATTCATTGTTATATAATTAGATGCCGTTGTTGAACTATTTCATCATTTTGTCATAAATACACTTTAGTTCCTTGGTTACAACATAGTTGCTATTTTTCATCGATTGTGTGAGGTTTGTTTCAAAATATACATTCTAATCACTTGATATCTAATATAGCAATATTTTTGTATAGTCCATAAATTTTCTACTGTATGCACTTTAGTTCGGTACTTATATAGATAATATTTTTTAACTATTTTATATAGTTCTCATTTCAGGCACACCTTAGTGCTTGATTAAAATATATCTGCTATAGTTTTCCATGATAAAATTGACACTTTAGTTTCTTGGCATATAATAATGTTTAATTAATTATTTCGTAAGTTCTCTACTTTATGTATAGTCTTTCCGAAGTCAGTTGGACATGTGAAAAAAGGCATGGCAATAAAATTTAATTTCATAGGCGTCCCTAAAAAAGTTTTCTGCTAAAGGGAAAAAATTATATTAATTTGTATATAACGTGTAAAAAAAATTTCTATTATTATTATATTGATGGTAAATTTCGTTTTGTTCCGTTTCAAAAGGTCTTCAAAATGCCATGTTGCAATAATATTATTTCTCCCTTTCGCAATTGTAATATCAATTATTACTTAATTGAAGGTGCCTATAATAAATTAAAATCACCTGAATCACACCAAATTCCGCATTGCAGCACTTCACTGCTGGGCAATTTTGTCAGCCACTTGTCAACAGCTGAGATTTATTGCCCAGTGGCCCAATACAGCTGTGTTTGTATTTCGTTTGTCCGAACTCGCATTCTTCAACTGGGCGTATACATTTCTACCACCTGCACGTTTAGTTCGACCAGACCTGTATATGGGTATGGCTAAATAAATATGGGAACAAGTTTTTCAAATATTTCAATGCCGAGTTGCAGCGTCAGCGACCGAACCTGGTACATACTGTCAACCTCTTGGTTCTTCAATTGATATCGGAAAGACTACACGTTTTAGCCTTTTTGACTTACTAATTTAGCTCATAAATTCTCCACTTTAGATAGATTTTAGTTTCTTTGGCAACTATTGTTATGATTTGAGCTTTAGATACAGTTACTATTGTTTAACTATTCGATGAGTTCTACTTTAAAAGACACTAAGCCTGATTGAAGACAGTTTGTTTTTTTTTTGGGGTCTTACCCTACCCCTTTGACCCCCTAGATTGAGCCGTCATTGGCGACATTTCCGATCGCAGATACACAGTTAATTGGGACGTCTGTGGCCTCTCCTGAACTACAAGGAATTTAACGACCTTGTAGCTACATTTCAGTCTCAACACCCGAGATAATTTAATTACCGTTTTCTGGGTAACGCGTGTGGATTTCTCCGAGAAAACGCGCTAAAGGGGTGTTATTACCTGCAGGGGACCTCCACTATCATTAAGAGGAGCTCCGGCGTGGTACTTAACGATTTTTTTAATTGTACGCTTTCGCATCGTCGATCCGTAAGGCACCACACGACAAATTCGGATTGGATTTTTTTTTAATCGCGCTCCGTATGTTCACCCTTGCCGGACCGGAATCGATTTTGTAGTTCGTTTTGTAGGTATGAAGAATGTAGTTTAATATTGATACAGTGCTATAAGTTATTTTGAGCTGTGCGTATGTTACGGGTTATGCAAATTTGCAATTAAAGTCGATATAGAAATATTCCGCCTCTTCTTGGGAGTAATTACAATTTTTGTGTGCGACGTAGAACGAGTTTTACGCGAGTGATCAGGGTGTGTACCAATATGAACAACCTGGAATTATCAGGGCATTTCGTAGATCTGGAACTGTCGGGAAATGGGGGATTTGGCAAATTTTCAATGAATTTTTTCAAATTTTGTTACTTTGATCTCGAAAATGGATTTCTAGAATAGTTTCTTGATGTTGGGATCAAAACACTTAACTGAATTATGACTATATTTGGATCGATATCTTTATAAAGTGGACACTTTTAAAATTTCCTGAAGATATCAGTATATATCAGAATTCATTTATAAATGTTATTAAAGTAATATTTTCCATTAACAGCAGCAACAAACCTGAAAGGAGGCTAAAGTGATAAGACCGTTTCTTCTCGGAGCGAATAAATTGCCATTCATAGCAGTTATTATTGAAATGGGAAATGCCTGGAATTTATACCACTTTGTTGTGCACAAAGCGAGCTGATTCTCTTTAATCTCGCCAGATGTTTTCTTCCTTGGCAAGCAAAAAATCCCGCTGCGATTATTTCGCTCTGGCTGGCGAATTTCATTTAGCCTGCCTCGCGATTGAAATCGCTTTTCTCTCTTCTCTGTCTCATCTACATGTGGTTTGGTTTATCATTTGCGGAGACACGTTGATGGACTTGATTCTGGTAGAAAATTGATTCTTGATAGCTAGGTGGCTGTCTAACACAAAGTTATGTTATCCTGGCTCAAATCATATATAGGGCGTCCCAATTTATAAGAACCTTCTTAAATGTTTACAAAGTGATCAATAATTTTGTTTAAAACAGTAATTTCATTTCCTTTTAATTTTAGTAAAATTAAATTAAAAATTAAAAATTAAAAATTATTAAAACTATAAGATCAAGATTACAGAAGAAAACACAACATTCTGTTTCACCGTCTGTTCATTGTGATTTTTCACGACATTTTATTCAGCCAATGGGCGATCGCATTGTCTCGAGCGTAGACGCAACAGTTTGTCATTGTTCACTGTAAACGAATCATTGCAATTGATGAGGCTCACCTTTACGGTTTGATTATGTCGACGAACACGTGCCTTGCATACACTTAAAAAGGCCCAGTAAAAGAAAAATAAAGGTCGATTATGTTTTACTGAATATACTATTTTTATATTATTATATTTCTAAAAACCAAGAAGTTATCAATTTCAAACATATGTATATGTAACCTATTCTGGTTGACTTGACGTCTATCACTTTGTATTAAAATTTTAAACATACGGTTTAGTTTAAATTTAATTTAATTTGATTATTTTTTTTAATAGATAAATAATAATTTACGGTTGTCAAGCAAATTGTATTAAATTTCCAAGATATGCGCTTACACTAATTAAAGAAATAGTCAATTCATGGAAAACATTCTGTGGATATTTATTAAATACATTTTATACCCTACCATCAGATTTGCTTAATTGTGGAAGTCACTCGAACGTCAGCCAATTAGAGAAGCGCTTTACGCATCCAAAGCATTCTGACGGTTCATGTGCACAAGATGCACAGGGTTTGCTTACATTTATGGTTAATTTTCTTAATTAATTTTCTCGAAAACAGAAGTATTTAGACCATGAGTTCCTTAATAAAAGTTGCTCACTTTCGCGCCCTCTATCGCCCTTATTAAGGAACACCCTGTATAGACACATAAAATCTCATTAGCCGAGTTATTAATATACCCATCCTATATCCAATTTTATTGTCGCGTAAAAAGTTATTTATTGTTAACACGTAGACACGCAGTCGTAAATACTTTTTACAAAGTTTTCTTCAGCATCAGAACTTTCACAAGTAAATGTAAAAGCGCAGATAAGTGACTTTTTATGTCCCATACTCCTGACAGAATTATAACATCTATAAAACCTTTGCTAATTATAGTGTCTAAGATAGAAGTTTTATTATTTTTACTTATAAACGTAGTTTGCCTCATGTAAACTTAAAAGGACTAGAAACAAACAGTGGGTCATTTTATTTTCGAGAAAGAAATTAAATATAAATGTTAAAAAGACATAAATTACTTTTCAAATATGTTCGATAAATTGCATAATTAATTTCTTTGTTCATTATTATTAAAATATTTTGTACCTACCTTTTTTTTGCAAATATTAAAAAAATAGAGACGACCTTATTGTCAATGAACAAAAATTATAAATCTCTGTATTTCTTATTTTGATGCCATAGCTTTGTGTGGTGGAAGGGGCGATATGTTACTACTCCAAGTTAAATTAAACTTTTCACCTCACTTTTGAATTGTTTCAGGTCTCCTATGTCACCTGGACGACGCCTGCACGAGCAACCCGTGTCACGCCGATGCGATATGCGACACAAGCCCGATAAACGGCTCCTACACATGCAGTTGCGCCTCCGGTTACAAAGGCATCGACTGCTCCGAGGACATAGACGAATGCAAGCAAGGTAGGTTACAAATTATTACATGTAAATATCGGTTACGTGCTAAACTTTTTTCCATGGGCGCGCGAGGGGAAGGTCTCTCTTAATAATCATTCAAAACGAACAATTTCTAGTAGATACCCCTTTTTTCAGGGTTTCAGTATATTTTAATAGTTTGTGGCATATATAGTTTTCTGTGATTCTGTCCTGTATATTATTTTTTTATTCCTGCAATATATTTTTTTTTAGGTACCCTCCACCCGAATTAGGTTTTTGGTCCTAAAAATGGCGCCAAATTTAAAGTTAAATGGAAGGGTGTATTATAATATTTTTGTAATTGCTACCATCCGATTCTCAAATATTTTTAAACTCGTAAACTTCATAAAATTAGTAGTAGTATTGCTTCTATTAATTCTAAACTAATGCAAAAAATTAAAGGGTCAAATGAATTTCCGAATTTTTTCCGCGATTTTTGACATTTTTTTGAAATTTTTTTTTAGTGAAGAAAAAGGGTAGTTTTGAAGAAAACTGTTTTAAGTGATTACAGACTGCACAAAAATTAATTAGAAATTTGTCTCAAAAAACGGTATGAATGGTGGTCGAAATCTGGTTTGGGTCATCATTTTAATTTAAATAAAAGTTGATGAATAGAAGCATAGGACGAAAAAGCCGAATCGTGCTGGAAACAATTTGATTTTATTTTCTTCAATGTCCCTAAGGTTTTCCAAAAAAAAAAACAAAAAAAACTTCATTATCAATTTAAATGTTATTTGCGGTAAAAGTGTGAGAAAACCTAAAAAAGAGGTTCTTCTGGGTATATCGAATTGTAAGTCATGCTTAACATTAGTCATTTCGTGAATATTTCTAATTGTAGCCGTCAATTTTATAAAAACCCATAAATACAAGTCCGTAGACTATCGCGCTATTTCTTAGAATTGCATGCATGATAATCGTAGCTCCTAAAAAAATTCAACCGAAAGATCTAAAAACTAGAATCTTAGAGCTTCAAAATGTTTTTTTTTAATTCCCGATACGACCATTTTTCACATAAATACAATCTGACAAAAATCACGGAAAAATTTCGGAGATTCTTTTGGTCCTTTAATTTTTTGCATTATTGTATTTATATGTTTTTAGATACATATGTACAAAAAGGGTAAACGAATAATTTTTGACAAATTCACTAGAATCAAATTTTGGAAATTTTTCAAAAAAATAATGTATTGTGCAGAAATTTGGTACAGGTTTTTTGATGGTGCTACTAGTTGTGTTAATATTTTTTCCTCTAACTTGTCTATCTAGAAGCTTCAGCTACATCATTTTTGAGGTTAGGTTCTGTGCGTCCCAATCTAAGATTTAATTTTACCCAAAAGAGGCACTCCGGATGAAAAAATTCACCGTTTTCAAAAGAAACGCAATTGATTATGTCAATGTTAACTGTTCCTAAAGTCTTACAGAAAAAACTTATTGTATTAATTCAAAACGCTGTTTGGCTGCAATTTTTTCATGCCAAATCGCCAAATTATTTTTTATGTAAATATACGATAATTCCTATTAATACCACAGCGGTACGAAGAAACATTTTTGGAACCGCTGATACCATCGATAGCTCGGCTGGTTGTTTACAAATGTTTACCCCAAATTGCTGTACATAAAGGTGTATACTCACATTTTTTATCAGCGGCATGTCCATTGTTACTGTACTGATGGGCCATTTTAGTATGTTTATTCGAATTTATTAAATGACACATACACATACCCCAGACAAAGTGCATTTTCACAAAAAGGAATCAGATAGATGCAGGAATACAAAAATATAAGTGACTTCACATAACAAATGACACGAATTTGCTTAATGAAATTAAAGTAAAACTGCTATAATAACCAAAAATCTAATTAACAATTTTTCTGTTTATTACAAAAAAAAGCGTAGGGCGCTATTTATCACCTCTCCTTTCGTAGGGGACGATTCCAGAGGTCCTCAAAACGTTTTAACAATTTTGATTAATTAATTTTATGCAACGTTTTGTAGTTTCGGGAGTTTAGATTAATAAAAATGCTTATTATTCATACTTACCTTTAAAAATTCGTTCCAAGTGTGCAAGCGCAATTTATAAAAAGCCTCTGAACAAAATTTGTCTTGTCGCGATATTATTAGCGCTTAATGTCATTTTACTTTATTTCGAATGAATGAATGTAGGCTTTTGGACCTTTGTTCCTCGGGGTTTGAAGGGTTCGATCCGCCTTCAAACGAGTGTCCGCGCGACGCCTGTGGCTCATGTAAATATCGGCTACGTGTTAAACTTCCCAACTACTGTATATCATAAATATTTTATGGCGTATTGTGTACGGTGCCGATTTGTTGAACCGCATTGTCGGGGCTGGAAATTATGACCTCTTGCGTGGCCGGACAGCATGAATCTTTAACAGCTCTCCGAGAATTTAACCCATTAGATTAATTACTGGGAAAACGTAACGCCCTCTTTTCTTAGAACGGGAGATTGAACAGCATGTGCTTAGTAATAACAATTAATTAGAAAGGGAATTCTTAATCTTTCGTAAAACCAACTGGAAATGTTCTTTAATATTGTTTATTTGGCTTTTTGTATAATTGCCAGTGAAACAAAATTGGTTTTTTAAAAGGTCTATCAGTAAGGACATTAACATTTTTTATTTATTTATTTTTAGTAACGCGTACATCTACTTTGCAATTAACACAATTTTCAATAATAATTATTCTAGGCCACTCAGCCAGAGACCTTCCTGCTGGCTATGCGTGAAATTTGATTTGATATCGCAGTTTTGAATACTTACTTACTTTTGAACTTTAAAGTATCTCTTGTATCTCCAAACATGGTTACAGAATACCTGTGCAACTTGATTTAACAATTTTGCTTGTAATTTTCCCAAAGGTATAGTGTCGCGGATTTAAGTCGGTCGGTTGTCTATCTTCTATCGTGGCCCCACGTTGGGCGCCACGACGCGGATGTTGCTTGGTCTGATTAGCTTATAGTGGAGTTAACCTACCATAATCTTCCTTTAGCATGTTTAGAGGGTCGTAAACCCTCTTAATGGATCTGGATGGAGCGTTTCTGTCCGGGGCCGGCTTCAACTGCACTCGCCGATGAAGTTTCAAATCTCAAGTTTTACTTGTGAAATTAATTAATACGAACTAAATCACGAGTACAAAAACGTTATTAGCTCAATAACGATATTATTACTGAAGGTAAAAGGACTCACAATTCATGTCTGCACACTTACATAAAAGCTGACTACGTATTTCTTTAATCTCTACCTCATAATAGCTATTGTTATGAATAAGATATTAAGTTATCATCATCAAAAAATATTATATTCGGGGAACGCCACTCTCTTACATTTAATAAGACTGTATATAAATAGCCACGACATTCCTCCATGCCCAAGTTAAAATACGTGGAATTAGACAAACTAAAATATGAGGATTATTTCTATTGGCAACCCGCTGTTACAGCCTTATTAAAGACGCCATTGTAAACATGGACTTACACAACGATGACTAGGTTTGGTAGGCGGACCGTGCGCTCAAGAAATAACGATGGGAATGTTCAGATTGGCACTGACAATTTGATGTGAGCATGATAACATTTTGTGTACTTTGGAAATTGTGATTACGCTGAGCGGTTAGGGTGATTGAACATGTTAATTTTCGTCGTCAAGTGAAGCGGAATTGATCTGATAAACAAACAATTGTTAGAGTAAATGCGTGGCGCTTTATATAAGAAACTAGTTTATTCCAGTTAAGTTCAAAATAGAGCATAATTTTTTATGTTTGTCTCTGTTGAGCGTCAATAGTTCGACGTCATGGTCATAACATAATTTGACGATAGTCTTGGGGCCCAGGAGTTGTTGTTATAATTATTTAATATAAACTGGAATTATATTGTTCTATACTGTAGTATAACAAACCCGGGTTCGATCAAAAAAATAAACGTAAACGTAGTTGTGGCCAAAATATGTGATTGTCATAAGGAATACCTACGTTGTGTGTATCTATTTTTTTTATTGACCGGAAGGCACTGGCTACTAACTTCTTTTGAGGGGATGTATGGTTTATATTTATAAAACAAAAGCAGAGTAAATACACCTAACGTTATTATACAGCAGTCTTCAAATTAAACATGTGACAAATAGAAAGAACAACAAAAACATTAACAACCATTTAACATAAAATGAGAGTGCCAGGCTCACCTAGAGCTCCTGTGGGGAAAGAGCATGGCAGAGAAACCCACGATCGTTGCTCTTACTACCCAAATATAAATACAAAACAACCGCTAACCAAAGGTATAAATTAAGATCCTTTGCTAATGATAAATAAGTCCTGTCTCATTTAATGTGTCACTAAATGTCATCTGGTAACCCCATATTAGTCATACACACTTCCAAGTAAAACTGAAGAGGTTTGGTGTTAGTTAGCCGGCAGGGCCGGAAGGTACTGGAGTCCCATAATGCGGGAGGCAATCCAGCTAAAGTTGAGATTTCGGAAGATCCTTCTTAACACCGGAGTCCCATACGGGAGGCAATCCAGCTTAATCCAGATTCGTTCCGCACGGGCGAAAATGTTAGTAACTTCAACAAGGCTCGTATAGACGTGTGACATAAAGTGAGCACAAGAAATCAGAGAACAACATAATCTTGGTAAAACAAGTTAAATGTGAAATAAAGAAGTCGTTATTGCAATATCTGGGCGGTCCCGACAAAATACATATTTTAACATAATAAATAATGAACAATCTTTAATAATAATTGTAACAATTTTATATTAGAAAAATATACGCCCCTGAGCGTAAGACAATGAAGGCTAAACATATACAGAATTATTATCATGAAACATCTATATTTTACGAACAACGTAATCATTACAAAAACAAGTTAGATGTGGAACAAAGGAGTCATTATTGTAAAGTCGGGGCGCCCACGACAATATATATATTTTAACAGGTTAATAATAAGTATAACAATTTTACCTTAGAAAAATATATGCC